TGCTTCTAAATTTCACAGACAACACATTGATGGGTCAAAAAAACCACCTCTGTCAACTGTTACTTTATTCATTAATTTATAAAGTTAAAATTTGGTATTAATGAACTGATTAAGGAATTATGTCAAGATGTGTGGAGGTGGGTTGAGTGGAACAAAATCAGTTTATTAGGACTTCTTTGTAATATTGCTTTTTGTTCAGAAAATAATTAAATAATTTGCTTTTAAGGTGAAGAGAACCGGATGCTTATTTTGGATTTTATGCTCGTTTTGATTATTCAAAATTTTGACCCTTTATGGGGGAGAATAGAATGGTCCGATCTCTACCACCTTTATAAAAGATCTTGTGTTGACGGAAGTATTGAGATGTGCTAAGTCTGAAAGAAATCGGATATTAATGTCGTGTTTTATGAGCTTCATGGATACTCAAAATGTTGACCCTTTCTGAGGGAGGTACCAGAAGGAGTGGACCGATATATTCCATCTTTACACTGGACCTGGGGTAGCTTACCGTCACCACCGTCATGTCCTTCCTACGATGCAATGACAGGCAGCCACGTCTTTGTATGGCCGCAGAGCTTTTGTTCTTCGTCGTCGCAAGTCACTCGCTTTATTTTAATTTGTGTATTCTTTCTTCCTAGTCCTCGTCGTCGGCAGGCAGTCAGTCATGGTCTTAATAATTCACAGACAATTGTCTGTGGCAAGAAAGGTAGTAGAAACCAGCCTCCTTGGATCCTCTCGGGATGCTCTGGAGCTTAATTTTATCTTTTGTAACAGAAGAAGCACCAAGGCGCTCGTTCGTTTGTTCCTTGTGCCATGGCTGGTGGTGACGGTGATGACACTTATTTTTCACATCTGATAAATTAGCATTCTGTTTTTGACATACTTTAAATGTGTGGCAGAGGTGGAGCTAAGGTAACGTAAGAATGTGAAATTAAATATGGAACTGATTAAGGAATTATGTCAAGATGTGTGGAGGTGGTTGAGTGGAACAAAATCAGTTTATTAGGACTTCTTTGTAATATTGCTTTTTGTTCAGAAAATAATTTGCTTTTAAGGTGAAAAGCTTACGTCACATTTTATAATAGTTTTGGTTATTCAAAATTTTGATCTTTTGTGGGGAGGTACTTGGTGGAGTGAACCGATATTGTCAATTTTCGCACCTGACCTAGCACTGAGGCAAATATTAGGATTTACAAAATTGGAGCAAAATCGAATGATGCTTTCCTTTCTGTGCGGTATATATATATATAAATATATATATATATATATATATATATATATATATATATATATATATATATATATATATATATATATATATATATATATATATATATATATCCACTCCTTCTGGTAACTCCACCACAAAAGGTCGAACTTTAAAAAAAAGAATATATATATATATATATATATTTTTTTTTTTTTTTTTTTCTTTTTTTTTAAAGTTCGACCTTTTGTGGTGGAGTTACCAGAAGGAGTGGACCGATATTGCTCATCTCCATCTAGGCCCACAGAGACTCAGGGTCTAAAATAGTTATTTCGATTAGGCACGTTAAAAATAAAAGACACCTATATCCCCGTTTTGAACGTTTGCATCGTAAAGTAAACCAAACAGAGAGGGGCAAGAACATCCCTATTCCAGATTTTTCGAAATTTTCGTATCAGGATTCCTTGGAATTGGTTTAGTTTAAGGATATGTTGCTACACAGGAGTCGGCAACTGCATAACTCGGAGACCTTTGGTCCATTGTGTCCGTTCTCTAACATTCGTGTGATGGCTTCCACAGTAGAAGTGCCGTCCATTGCCTTTAACAGGTTCAGGACATCTTTGTGTGGTGGGTCCGGATCTTCGTAGGTCATGTAAATTGAGGATATCAGTAGTGGTTTACCACTCCTCCATGCAGCCTTACGGAGGTGATGCCTCCTTTACTTGTCCTCATTTGTGGATGCGAATACCGTGTAGTTCTTGCGGGGACCCCAATTGTTGCGTAGTGTGGACCCCTGGATCAGGCGATATGCATAGTTGATGTCCAGAGGGTATGCAGGAGTTCGGCAGCCGCGGTCTTGTACTAATGGAGATTGATCTGCCCCAAGCTCAGGCTAGACTTCTTGTAAACTACTCCTTGCTGTGAGGGAGGCAAAATAACCACCCTGCTGATCTTAGTGCAGGAATTCCGCTCACGCCAATTTCCAGTCAACTTCATAATAGGAGATAGAATCCACACAGAACTACCATTTCGCATGGCATTTCCGAGACAAGCATGACGACGACATAGCTGCCTTCCTCATAAAGATTCAAGTGGGGAAATAAGGATATCTAGAGATTTCTTATATTCGCAGGTAGGGATCCTGGCTCCATTATCCTGTATCACCTGCTGAGCAGATTGATGATCCTGCTTCGGTTTTGAGTCACAAGGTTTCTGTAAAGCATTATTACTTTGATCTGATTTCGACTTCCCAATAGTGTGCTTCCCGGACTGTTGTACCGTCTGCGTCGTCCCCATTTTCCTAGCCTTGGTGTGCTGCTCCTCAGCTAACTACATCCACTGTTTGAGAGAGGGATTCGATCGTCTTCAATGATACTTCCTTCAGTGAGATTGGAAACTCAGCTGACAAGATATCTTTATGGCCGTAGCCTTCTCTGTAGTTGTCTATACCCTGTCCACCTGTTAAATGAACTTATGGACTCGACAGAGCCGGGCAGGCTTCGATTTGCTCTTCTTCCGCGCAGCCACGTTAGATGTCTACGATTTCGTAGGTTTAACATCAGCCTTGCCTTTTTTCTTTGAATTGGAGGGTGGTACCTCCGACTCTGGCAGTTTTTTTAATTTTGTGGGAAGTTGTGGCAGAAATCTTCAAAATAGCAAAAATCGGGGGGTATCGGCACAAGGGTTTATATTTTATGCATGCTAATTGGTACTGAAAATGGGTTATATTGGTCCACGTTTGGGTATAGACACCATTTAACAATATTTCCCGATTTTGGCTATTTTGAAGATTTCTGCTACAACTTCGTACAAAATTAGATAAAACTTCATAATTGGGGTTCTCGGTAGGTCTGTTTTCTCCTTGCAAAAAAATGTTCGATTCAGGTCCAACAATTGGTATAGCCCCATGTAACGGTACCTCTTGATTTTGCCAAAATTTCCAAGCAAATTAGCTGAAAATTCACAACTGGGGTTCTCGGTGGATCTGTTCTCTGTTGGCAAAAACATGTCCGATTCAGGTCCACTAATTGATGTAGCCCCGGTATTTTGAAGGTTTCTGCCACAATTGCCAACCAGCTCACCTGAAATTTGACATTTGGGGTTCTTAAAAGCTCTATTCTCTCTTTGCAAAAATGTTATATTCAGATCCACAACCCTCCCAATATACAACATTTTTAAGATTTTTCAACAGATTTATCTCAAATTTGGTATTTGGATTTCGAAATAGGCGTCAACTTCTCTGGCAGATAATTGGCTGTAGAGGTAAAATGTTTCGTGTAGGCCCAATACAACTGTACCTCTAGATATTCGGAATTTTAATTTTTTTTTTTTTAATTTCTCTTCCAATTGATGGAGGGTATTAAAACTTAGCAATTTTTTTCCTACTGTCCCTCATCTCTTTTAATTCCTTATATTCTAGGTATATAGCTAATAACAATTCGAAGATTATTTTGGACAATTTTTTTCCTTTTGACCTTTTTTGAAAAGTTAGCTTAAAACCTTTTTAAACGTGATCTTGTTTTTTGAAAAAAGGACCCAAAAGCCCACTTTGGTAACTTTACTGAGGCTTAATTTTTTCGACCAAAACTATCTTGGCATTGTTATAAGCAATATTACCGAAGACTCTATGTTCCTCAAGTGCATGGATTACAAGAAATCTTGATCAGAAAATTTCAAAAAATGTTGGGGTGGGAGAAACTTGACACCTCTATTAAAGTTACTTAGGAATGTTAACTTTCAAAACGACGATACACATGTCTTTTATTTTTAACACGAGTTTCAGAATTTAATGGATTTTTAATATAATCATTGAAAAGAGGAATTTTGTAGCACAGTGATATTGATCGACGACCATTCGAAATGACAGGCTTCTGCCGTAACCTAAACTTTAACCATGGAAAAATCCGCGTCGATTTCTTAAATATTGTGCGCATATCTCCAAAAATTATAGGCTTCTATTTCGGCCCAAGCCCTGATCAAGTAAATTTCGTGATGATCGTAGTCGCGACCTGTTAAGTGATTAAAATTTATCATGGACAGAAGAGTGGGCGGAAACACATTGCTAGCTCGACTCAGCTCGGAGAGGTGGGAAGATCGATATGCTTTATTATAGGCCTAGGACAAATATAGCGAGATTTTATAAAGTTTCCACTTATTAAAAAAATATATATTCATCGATGGAAAAATAAATTTTTCATTACTAATGGATACATTGTCAAGTTGCAAACATTTCATCAAATATCTTAAATCAAATTTGATAATAGGATCAACTTTTTTCACAGAAGGGAATTGTAATGCATCGAAATTAAAATCAGCTTGCATTACACACAGCTCTTGCTATTCAAATCTTCGGTTAGTTCGCTGGTAATAACTTTTCAAACAGAAGCTACAACTTTTGTATTAGTGTTAGTAAAACAATAAAAATGAAGAAAAGCAACAATGGACAACAATGGCTTTGTTGTTAGTGGTTGCTGCTGCTGCTGTTGTTTGGTTAGTGTATGGGTTAGTCGTCGTCATTTTTACAGTTTAAAGCTGTTGGCAGAACTTGGGTCTATCAAAAGCAAAAACAGAAGAAGAAGATGTAGACCAAGTTAACAATAATAAAACTAGCCAAGTAACAAAAGACAGAAACATAGGAAAGGAGAAAAACTCTGCAAACTTTTGTTCAGCTTTTTTGATAGAAAGAAAAAGAAGGACCAACAAAACACAAAACCGGAAAAGAAGTTGTTTGCAGAGCTGTTGCATTCATGGTTTGAGATTTTCCACTATCGTTGTTGTTGTTACTAGTTCTGACCTTAAGGACATGTTCATAATTAAGGTTCCGGTAAGTTTTTGTATACGCTTTTTCTGTTGTAATTGTTGATGTTGTTTTAATATGGGACTACAAAAAGAAAGACATAAAAAAATTGTTGGAGAGAAAAAAGTATGATTAAAAAAAATTAAGACACACACAAAATATTTATGAACAAAAATCAAAATTGTAATCGAACAAAAAGCAATGTATTTGCCACCAAATGATTTGAATATGGGACTATGATCAGAATAATGAACCAAAATAAGACCAGGGTTATATGATTATATTATGAGAATGAGGCAGAAAAAGCGTAAAACTAGCGAGTGGATGAATTTAGTCAAATGGTTGGATATTCATCATTATATCTTAAATATCACTAGAATCCTTTACCATAATTTAACATATCGATAACTTTGTTTAGCGCTAATTTACTTCCCATGCTCTAAAAAATAAAACTTTTATCTCTCCCTCAATAGAAAAATATAACACACGGAGAAAATATATTCCACTTTCACCGTTACCAACAGTCAGAGCGTCTGTTTGAAACAATACCGGCTGACATCTGACAAAACATAACCATGACAAAAAAAAAAAAAAATAGAAGTGGTCCGAACGGTCATTCCAGTTTCAACAGCGAGTTTGGGAGCCTACCAGGCCTGACGTGATGGATCCATCAATTTAAAATCTGAGAAAGCTGAGTTGCTGCTTCTAAAGAAAACGATGGACGAAAAAGGTGCTGCCTACAGAAGAACGGTAAACTAAAGTAGTCGGAAAGTAAAAATTATGGATGTTGACTGAAAAAAAAAAATACCTCGCTGAAACCGAAGCAAGTTATGGGAGCCATATTGAAATCTAAACTGATTTTATAGAGGCATTTTTATAACAGGGACAGTCCTGGCTTCAATGAATTGTATTTTTCCACACACAATTAGAACCGTAGTAAAAAATTAGGAGGACATGAAAATATGACTCTCCGTACGCCTCTTTTTTAGGGAGTACACGACGTCTCGTACATAATATCATTTATATCGAGAATTTAAATTGGATGAAAAAAATACATGCTCTATTTGGATAAAATTCATATCGTTTCGTCTTGCTGATGCGCATGATAACTCTCGAAGGGTATCCAATATTATTATCATCGATCGAGTTCGGAGATGGTCCACTTTTCCTGGTACCTCACCTCCTCCACAAAATGTCAAAATTTTCAAAGGAAATAATTTACCTTACTTTAAGTGAAAGGATAATCCGATTTTGTGCGAAATTAACATCCGATTCCGTCCAGACTTGGCACTACTCAATATTTCTATCTGTTATAAAGACGGTTGGTGACCAAAGGGACAAAGGTTTGAATAACCAATAAAATCCGAAAAAAGCATCCGGTTCTCTTCATATTTCACACATCCCATTATTTCTACTAACACAAGATCTGCTGTGAAGATGGGATATATCAGTCCACTCCTTCTAGTACCTCCCCCACAAACGGCCAACATTTTCAATATCCATGAAGATCATATAACCCCAAATTAAAATCGGATTCCATTCAGACTTGGCACATCTGAATATTTCCTTCATTACAAGATCTGTTATAAAGATAGTACAGATAGGGCCATTTCTTCTGGCACCTTCCCCACACAGGGTTCAAGATTTTGAAAAAGAAAACGCGAAAAGCATCCAAATCTCTTCAAATTTCAAATAACACAAGATCTGTTGGGAAGATGATATATATCTGCGAACACCTTCTGGTACCTCCCCCACAAAGGGTAAACCTTTTTTTATACTTTTATCTGTCATAACAAGTCAGCGATTTTGTACAGCTTGTTATATCGAAATAATTCTCTCAACCAGAAACATGAGATGAAGTTGGGAATTATGATTTCGCATATAATTGGATATAAACGGACGGACCGACAAACAGACGTACACATATATACATATATACTTTATTGGGCCTGACATAAGTATTTCGAGGAGTTACAAACGGAAGGACAAATTTAATATACCCTAATAATTCGGTCGACTATAGCTGGTACCTTACGCACATTGTAACATTTTCTAAGAAGTATTACATATCTCATGTAAAGTGAAGGATGTAGTCTATTTAGTCCAAATCTGGCACGTCGCAATAATTATATCATAATAATTTGAGTTCGATACGAATTCGTATCGACGTGCCAGATTTGGAATCGGACCATTCATTCGGAACCTACTCCATAGAGAGTTAACAATTTGAATAATCATAACAAAAGTCTGAAAATATTTAAATAATCGAACATTGGCTGTGGACATATATCTCTCGGCTTCAAAAATTTTTTAAAATATTCTGGAGCCTCGGGAGAGGCTTCAAAAATTCGTGAAAAAAAATTCTCGAGCCTGGGAAGTGTCTTCAATTTTTTTTTATAAAATCGACGAATTTTATGAGAGACTTCAAAAATTATTTAAAACATTCACGAGCCTTGGGAGAGGCTTCAAAAATTCGTTAAAAAAATTCTCGAGCCTGGGAAGTGTCTTCAAATTTTTTTATAAAATCGACTACAAAAATTATTTAAAAAATTCACGAGCCTTGGGAGAGGCTTCAAAAATTCGTTAAAAAATACTCGAGCCTTGCAAGTGTCTTCAATTTTTTTATTAAACCGACGAATTTTGGAAGAAGTTTCAAAAATTCTTCAAAAAAATTCACGAGTCTTGGGAGAGGCTTCAAATATTCTTAAAAAAAAATTCACGAGCCTTGGGAGTAGCTTCAAAAATTCTTTATAAAATCCACGAGCCTTGGGATTGGCTTCAAAAATTCTTTAACAAATCTATGAGCCTTGGGAGAGCCTTCTAAAATTCTTTAAAAATCGACGAGTCTTGGGAGTGGCTTTAAAATTTTTTTAAAAATTTACGAGACTTCATAAAATCGTTACAAAATCTACGAGCCTTGGAAGAGGTTTCAAAAAAAAATATATATAAAATCCACGAGTCTTGGGGAGGCTTTAAAAATTTTATCAATTTCTTTCAAAATTCAATTCAAATTTCTTTAAACAAACTCCATGAGAATTGGAAAAGGATAAAAAAAATTCTTTAAAAAATCCACGAGTCTTGGGATTGGCTTCAAAAATTCGTTATAAAATCCACGGGCCTATACAGTGGCTTCAAAATATCTTTAATAAGTCCACGAGCAGTAAGAGAAGCTTCAAAAATTCATTGTAAAATCATCAAGCCTTGGGAGTGGCTTCAAAAATCTATATTTTTTGTGTAATAATCTTTTTCAATTCGGGAAGTCAAGATTCAATCAATAACTTTAAATTCATTTTTCTCGAAACTGATTTTTTTGAGATGCTGCACTCTTTCAATGACTAAGCGATATGTACTTCGTGGTACTTCCAATGAATATTTCGATGGTGGGGGATATTTAAATACCTTGTCTGACATTTGAATCTCCTCCATCTAAGGCTCAAATAATTGCCAACTCATCAGATCACTCTATCGATTTATGCTTCTGAGTGTTCAATGAAATAACTGATTCCTACTAAATATTTATCTGATTAGCAGCAGCCTACCAAAAATATAATGTGGTATTATTACCACATAACCAAAACCAAAGCTATTAAGTACCGCAAATATCCATCAATGTCAATTCAATGACATATTCCGTTTTCAATTGAGTTATAAAAAAATTTTAATTTTCGTCGTCAACGTCCTCGCCATGGTAGATGGAGGTTAGTTGGAATGCCAAATCTGTTAAATGGTGGCGGGGTTGTAATGCCAGCCACTCGCAAAATGTTAAAACTAAAGCCACGCAAAGCCATGATGACGATGATGGCAAGCGGTATGAAGATAAAGCATACCAAAAATAAACACACACCCACTCACACACCACATGTATGTAACGTTGGTATATATGTGTGTGTTTTCGTGGTTGGTTACAGGTTGAAAAACAAAATATTTGCATTTAAAAATTGCAAATATTGCATATGCATGACAGAGAGGTATTGATAGTAGGAATAATAGAGAATAGGGGAAAGCTTGAAGTGGAATAGAGGAGAGTCAGAGATAGAGAGAGTAGGGGGAGAACAAAGGCGGAAAAGTAAATGACAAAAGCTTTAGCGGCAGTTAACAATGTTGTTGTGTGGATGTTGGGGAATGCAGTGCAAAATATTCCCATCCCAACTTACAACATTAAGCCCCAACACACAACCCCACACAAAGTTGCACACACCCACAACACACACACACACCCACACATGTTCACGTTTAAATGCAGCAGCCCAACAGCAAAAACATAATGAATGTTTGATGCACAAATCCATTAGATTTGAGGTAAATTAAAGTTTTACAACTAAAGTATGGAAATGGTTACATAGATAGATACCGCATGAAATGGAAAAGTAAGATAACGATTTATAAATAGATAGAGATAGAGAGAGAGCGGGAGGCAGAGAACGAAAGAACGAATGGGGGGAAAACGGGGGAAGAAGCAAGAGAAAAAAAACAACAAACGCCAGGCAAGGCAATCAACATCGAATACTTACATGTCACTTGGTAATGTTTCAGGACTAGATGAACGTTCATTGCTCCATGGCGAACTGGATGTTGTCATGCCTGAAAGAAAGAGAAAGGAGGGGGAAATAAATTACTAAAACTACATACATTGACAATATAAATTTACAACAATTACACATTTCACAACAAAGTAATTAATTTGCAAAATCCTCATTCAAGAAATTATGTCGAAAGGTCATATTGAGAAATTTAAAATAATTTTATTTTAGATTGAGTTTTAAGAAAGATAACCCGAAAATCATTTTAGGTTAATTAAAAATGCATTATCCTTGTTAAAGATTTTTTAAAAAATTCACAAGCGTTATATGAGGCTTAAAAAAGTATTTAAAAAATCTACAAGTCTTATATGAGCCTTAAAAAATTAATAAAAAAATCCACAAGCCTTATATGAGGCTTAAAAAATTATTTAAAAAATCCACGAGCCTTATATGAGGCTTAAAAAATTATTTAAAAAACCCACGAGCCTTATATGAGGCTAAAAAAAATATTTTAAAAATCCACGAGCCTTATATGAGGCTTAAAAAATTATTTAAAAAATCCACGAGCCTTATATGAGGCTTAAAGAATTATTTAAAAAATCACGAGCCTTATACAAGGCTTAAAGAATTATTTAAAAATCTTCGAGCCTTATATGAGGCTTAAAAATTTATTTAAAAAATCCACGAGCCTTGTGGATGGCTTAAAAAATTATTTAAAAAATTCACGAGCCTTGTGGATGGCTTAAAAAATTATTTAAAAAATCCACGAGCCTTGTGGATGGCTTAAAAAATTATTTAAAAAATCCACGAGCCTTATATGAGGCTTAAAAAATTATTTAAAAAATCCAAGAGCCTTATATGAGGCTTAAAAAATTATTTAAAAAATCCACGAGCCTTATATGAGGCTTAAAAAATTATTTAAAAAATCCACGAGACTTACATGAGGCTTAAAAAATTATTTAAAAAATTCTACGGGCCTTATATAAGGCTTAAAAAAATAATAAAAAATTCTACAAGCCTTATATAAGGCTTAAAAAATTATTTAAAAAATCCACGATCCTTATATGAGGCTTAAAAATTGTTTAAAAAAAATCCACGAGCCTTATATGAGGCTTAAAAAATTATTTAAAAAATCCACGATCCTTATATGAGGCTTGAAAATTGTTTAAAAAAAATCCACGAGCTTTATATGAGGCTTAAAAAATTATTTAAAAAATCTACGATCCTTATATGAGGCTTAAAAATTGTTTAAAAAAATCCACGAGCCTTATATAAGGCTTCAAAATTATTTAAAAAATCCACGAGCGTTATATGAAGCTTAAAAAATTCTTTAAAAAATCCACGAGCGTTATATTAAGCTTTAAAAATTCTTTAAAAATCCACGAGCCTTATATGAGGCTTAAAAAATTCTTTAAAAATCCACGAGCCTTGTGGTTGGCTAAAAAAAATATTTAAAAAATCCACGAGGCTTGCGGATGGCTAAAAAAATTATTTAAAAAATCCACAGGCCTTGGGAATGGCTCAAATTTTTTTTTTTAAAAATTCACGAGCCTTTAAAAAAATCCACATGGGTTGTAGATGGCTTATATATAATTTAAAAAATTCTAAAGCATCCTAGAAGGCTCCAATTTTTTTAAATCCGTAAGCCTTATATGAGGCTTAAAAAATTATTTAAAAAATCAGTGTCGAGCACACCTATTGTCTCATCAAATATTCACTGTGAGAGTGACTACGTTTTGCTAACTTTTCCATGTTTATTTTTTTTCCATTTCACTCAAGTAAAAATACCAAATATGTTCTGGCTGATGTTAATTTTCAAACTGATGCTGTTGCGGCAACTTGTTGTCGTGTTGTTGTTGCCACTGTTGTTGTTTTTTAATACCAATCAACAAAGTATGAGGAAAATCCATTAGGGACATATTTAACCATTCATCTGTATCATCATCAGCATCTACACTCGAGCATATCAAACGAAGACTAAACATAACGGGCGCATTGAATACGGGGGAAAGCTGACAACCGCTACGACGAACATAAAACAAAGTTGTTCGTTGATGTTGTTCTGTCATCGATATCATCGCCATCAGGAGCAGCTGCTGGCTGCAGCAGCAGTGGCGACCACGAGAACAAGGAAAGTTTTTGGAAATCAACTAACCATTATCCATATATAAAGGATGTGTGTATGGGTTTGTATGGGTATGAATAATATATACATGTATGAAAAGTGAGTTATCTTCTTTGAGTGATTGGAAATTAACGAAAAAATAATTAGCTTGCCGGATAACGTGTTGATTTAAGAGCCTCTGGGATTTGGGAATATCTAATTTATTCGATATTCTCCTTCAAGGGGAAACTTTTGGTTAGTTGTTGGATTATATCAACAATTGTTATATTGTGGGAATCTAAATTGGATTTTGATGAGCAATATTTTGGTAGTCGTATTTTCATAGTTAATATTGAGTTTTTTTCTTTTATGAATCAGTATATTTTTCAAAAAAAAAAAAAAAAAAAAAAAAAAAAAAAAAGTTGGTATAAATTTGCCTCAATCCTTACAAGCCCCATTACTTTTACCTTCGTCAACAATGTCCTTATTGTTATTAGTTACCAGCTTAACACTTAAAACCTAATATTACATATGACTACAACATTTTTCACCAAATATGTACAGGGTGATATGAAAAAACTACAACCAACTTCAGACTGCTGTCATTTCTAAGCCACTCGTCCGACAGTTGCTAAAATTATTCCAGAGGCAGTTCATTATATTGTTTACAAGCCTACAGAAGCATTTTGGTGAGAGTATTCCAGAAAAACAGTTATTCGTGAGGGAATTCAAGCGTGATAGTATGATTTCTTTATAATTGGCTGGAAAACCACAAGTGGCTATCGTTAGAGCACTCCATCATTTAAATGTGAATAAATCTTTTGTGTCTCGTACCATCGCTCGTTACTGGTAGCGTAGCCCGACGTCAAGGAAGTGGACGGAAGAAAACAGCAAAATCAGCAGAAATTCTTTGAAAATTATAGAAGCGACTTGATCGAAACGCGCGTCGCAGTGGCCGAAAAATGGCTCGTGAGCGAAACATGTCGCAATATTCCATTCAAAATGGACAAATATTGAATAATGAGCTCGGGGTAAAGTCATTGAAATTCCAAAAAGTGCAAAAACTTACACCGCAACAGAAATAAAATAGACTCTAAAGAGTTAAAGAGTGGCTTCGCTTGGCCGAAAGTGGTGAACTGCCGAATTTGGTTTCCTCCGATGAGAAAACATTCGTTGTCCAGCAGTTTGTAAACAAACAAAATGATCGTGTTTAATTGCCAAAGAGGTCAGCTGAAAATGTGCACCTTCGGTTGGCCAACAGAACTCAAGCGCCGGCCATGGTGATGGTGTGGGCCGCCATAAAAGCCGATGGTCGCTCTCCGCTCGTATTAATCGACCGTGGCATCAGAATAAATGCCGAATATTATTGCGAAAATATTCTGGAGGGTGTATTAAAGCCTTGGGCACGCAGACATTTTGGCCGCAGACCTTGGACATTCCAAAAGGACTCAGCACTCAACGCACTCAGCACGCGCCACCCAAGAATGGTTACAAAATGAAGTTTCTCGTTTCATTTCCAGTGCAAAATGATCACCAAAATCTGCGGATACCAATCCGTTGGACTATTGTATCTGGAGTATTTTGAAAAGCAAGGTAGGCACTAAAAATACCAAAGTGTAGATCACCTCAAGCAGGCGCTTCGCCGGGAATGGGCAAAAAGATACCACAGAGCAACATTCGGGCAGCGTGTGACGGTTTCATTGGCCGTTTGAAGGTCATAATTCGTGCCAAAGGTGACCAATTTGAACAAATCTAAACTTATTCTAACATTTGATGCTATTTCCGACCTTTTTTTGCTTTCATTCAATAAAATGTAAAAATTATGGCGCTTGACTTTGTTGAAGTGTCTCACCCTGTATATATGTGTAACATATCCTCATGTTAGTGTGTATGGGGTTGGATGGTTGCACACTTACCTGTTTTCAAAGTATGGTTTTGTGGTGATATACCATTCGGCCTTGATGTCATTTTGCTGGCAATACGTTGTGGTACACTGGCAACAGTCTATAGCGGCGATGTTGGATGTTAGTCATTTAACAACAGCATCAGTAACATTTTCACCATCATCACATCGCAGCAGGCGAGATGTGAAGTGGGACACAGGAACGGGATAGAACGAACATCATTTGTAACGTTTATTGTAATTGAAATCAGCATCGAGTTATGTCATCATCATCATCATCGTTGTCGTCACCATTATAGACATTAAATTTTTGTTGATTCATTGAAGAGGCAGGTGGTAGAGGGAGAAATATTGTCAACATCACGATGGCGGGCAAAGTGGAAAAAAAAAAGAGAATAGAAAAAAAATCAAGTTAAAATTAATTCAAAAAACGTTTCCGTATTCGGTCTGTTGTTCTTAATTTTTTCATTAGTTCTAATTATAAAACATGGCGAAAAAATGTTCAAAACATTCATTAATGGGGCGGTAACATTTTTAGGAGTTCCCTGCCTGTAACAAAACAGGGTCATACGATAAGCAATAAAGAAATGGCAATAGTAAAGCCGGGTCGACCATATGATATTCTACACTATTCGTCATTTTTTAATTAAAAAATAAAATTATATATAGGAATAAAATTATATTATAGAAGGCTCAAAAAATTATTTTAAAATCCACGAGCCTTATAGAAGGCTTAAACAATTATTTAAAAATCCACAAGCCCTATAGAAGGCTTAAAAAATTATTTAAAAATCCTCGAGCCTCAAAGAAGGCTTAAAAAAATATTTAAAAATCCACGAGCCTTATAGAAAGCTTAATAATAATTTAGAAAAATCCACGAGCTTTATAGAAGGCTTAAAAATTTATTTAAAAAATCCAGACAGTTTTTTTTTTTTTTTTTTTTTTCGTTCGGTTCCAACGCCACTCTTACCCGCCCCTGCCGACCGAGGGGGCCACCTCCCAATACGTAGGGAGCGCGTACACCCTATAGTCCGCACCATGGAGGGTTAGTATTGTAGGGAAACACCAGCTACAGTAAAACATCAGCCGGTTTTAGTAAAAGGATTAGTATTACAAATCACACACAACGAGCAAAAATACAAATCTGGCAGCTCAAATACTATAATTATAAATTAAGTATTGATATTTTTATTGCATGCAAAGGTTCAGATAGTGATAAATTATTATAGAGGTTGTTATATATTTCACATAAAGATCTAAGGGGGTTGCTTAGTTCGTAGTTAGATCTCGCCAAGGAAAGATTTAGCGGTATATAATTACGAGTTATTCTAGACGGAACATTAAACTTTATTTCACTAATTAAAAATTGTGAATCAATTTGACCACGCAAAAGTCGTATTAAAAATATTGCTCTAAGCATTAAACGCCTTCTTTCTAACGATGGAAGGTCTATAAGTTTTAATCGATTTTCATAGGGGGGGAGTGCTTCAGACGGATTCCAGGGCAGACCTTTGAGAGCGAATATAATGAATTGTTTTTGAACTGCTTCTATTGAATTAGAGTAACATTTATAAAATGGACTCCACAACACGCAACCATACTCTAATGTAGGTCTAACTAGACTAGTAAACAAGCGTTTAGTTACGTAAGGGTCTTCAAACTCTTTAGACCAGCGCTTAATGAAACCTAGAAGAGACTTTGCTTTATTAACGCTAGATTCAATGTGTAAGTTAAAACGAAGTTTATTGTCCAAAATAACACCAAGATCAATAAATGAGTCTACATTCTCCAATTTGTATGAACCTACGAAGTAATCAGATTGAATATGTCTAGATCTGAATAATGATAATTTTTTGCATTTTTTAAGATTTAGTGACATGCCATTCATACCACACCAATTTACAATGGAATGTAGATCATGTTGTAAATGTAATGAGCTATTGAGAGAATCGAGATTAATGAACAGCTTAACATCATCTGCAAACATTAGAATTTTGGAAAACCTTACAACTGACGGAAGATCATTGAGATAGAGAACGAATAGTAATGGTCCTAAATGGCTTCCCTGAGGAACACCAGAATGGACTAGAATATTTTTTGAGATGGCATTTGTGAAAGACACCTTTTGAGTACGGTTTTCAAGGTATGATGAAATCCAGTCTAACAATAATGTAGGGAAACCCATTAAATCAAGTTTGTGGAGTAATAAACTATGTACGACAGTGTCAAAAGCTTTACTAAAATCGGTATAAATTACATCAGTTTGAAATTTATTAGCAAAACCATTATGAACATAGCATGTTAATTCCATAAGATTAGTTAAAGTTGACCTACCTCTGATGAAACCGTGTTGACACGGTGAAAAAATTGGAGCCACAAAGTGTGTTAGCCTACGCGAAACCAAAAATTCAAAAAGTTTAGGTATTGCGCTAAGCTTAGCAATGCCTCTATAATTTTCAATATTGCAACGACTACCAGTTTTATGGAGAGGAATTATATAACTAGATCTCCAAAAATAAGGAAAGTAGCCTAAAGATAAAGAGTAATTAAATAATTTCGTAAGTGGTATGTATAATTCAATTGCACATAATTTAAGAACGTTTGCCGGTACTCCGTCTGGACCTGGGGAGATCGAATTTTTTAAAGTTTTTAAACCATTTAAAACCTCTTCTTCCGTAAGCAAAATTTGGGGCAAAAAATTCAGTCTATTAATGTTAAAGCTGTAGTTGCTAGTGGATGTAAATGTTGAATAGCTATTCTGAAAAAAATCTGCGAACATGTTTGCAATATCAGAATCATCGGTAGCCTCTGTGCTGCCGAATTTCATACAGCTAGGGAATTCATGGACTTTTCTTTTAGAATTCACGAAATTATAGAAGTTTTTTGGGTTGCGTTGAAAACTATTTCTAATTCTTTGTAGATATGCCGAATAACATTTTAAATTTTCAGTGTTATAATTATTTCGAGCTTTGGAGTAATTGGAGTAGTTTAAGGATGAGTTAAATTTTTTAAATTTCTTAAAAAGTTTACTTTTGTTATTACGTAAACGTCTTAAATATGGAGTAAACCATGGCGAGCCTCCATTTGGCGCGTAATTTGAACTAGGGACTGTTAGTTTAAAGGCTTCATTTAAGATATTATAAAAATCGGAAATACAATAATCAATATCACCTTCAAGACGCCATATTGTATTGGAAAGAGTAGTACGTAACAAATCAATGTTAATTTTGGAAAAGTTAAAGGATATTTTTTTATTGAGTGGTTTGGATGTTATTTGAGTTTTAAGATCAAGAGATATATTGAGGGTTGGGTGATAATTATCCTCCGGTTCGACAAACGGTGCACATCTACATAATGAAAGGTTAACGGTTGTGGAGAATACTAAATCTAAAATTCTATTCTTGACATTAAAAACATTATTTATTTGGAAAAGTCCTTGGTCAAATATAGCTTCCCAGAATTCGTCCATTCTACTAGCTGAGCCTGCAGACGATACAGGAATATAGTCTATGGAATTTTGTTTAGGGATCCACGATATACTTGGTAAGTTGAAATCACCAAGACAAATAAGATCAAAATTTGCTGACTTTAAACATGAAACATCCTTCAGAAGCTTTGAGTGCTTAATGTATATTTCAAAGTCTGAATTTGGAGGAATGTAGGAACAAGTTAAAGCAATAAATTTACCACGATATAATAGTTTGACACATATAAATTCTATATTAAGATCTTCAGTGACAACTATTTCAGACGTAATGGAATTATGTACAGCTATTAAAACTCCTCCACCGGTTCTATTTACTCTATCATTTCTATAAACTTCAAATTGGTCAGAAAAGATTTCTGTGTCGTAGATTTCAGGTTTAAGCCAAGTTTCAGTAAATATAAAGACTTTAAAATCAGAACCAAAAGATTTTAAAAAAGTTTGACGAAGTTTTGAGTTAAGACCTCTGACATTTTGGTATAACATTTGTAACGAATCAGATTCTATTAGTTTTTTGAAGCTTGCATAGCGTTAGAAGTACGGACAGGATTAAGTGCGTTACGCTTTTCTCTGAATACAAACTCTTTTACTAAAATGTCATCGGGCCAGAATGAACTATTAATAATAGTATCGAATATGTTTTTGGAAACAACAAGCTTAAACGATGAAATTGCACGAGCAGAGGAGGAATTAAACTTAAAAATTTTAAAATCACTTTCTTGAAGATTATGTATTTTAGATTTAACATAATCACTTATAATATTTATTGTAGTACTAGGATGCAATCTAGATATAAATACGCTTTTTCTAGGAGGAACTACAATTAGGCTACTAGAAGGAAGAGAAGCACATTGCAATGGTGGATGTGCTGTAGGATTTGACGTATAATCACTTACAAAAATAGGGGGGACGCTATGCAAATGATGTGGATTTTGCTGGACATTAGATGGAGCTTCAGAAGATAAGGTTTCGATCTGAGTACTCCGACTTTCACTTGTATTAGAAACAGCCGGTGATGACCTGCTGGACGGCGAAGATGCAAATTGCAACGGAGGCGCCAGATGGTTGTCTGAAGATAAATTTTCAGTATTATTTTGTAGCGGGGCAACAACTGGTGAATTTAGCGATATTAAGTTATTACCAGAAATAATAGCTGAAGATTTTTTTCTTTTGGGCGAACCATCAGGATACTCAAATTTATTATACATATTTTCAAAATAGTTTAAGCGAGAGTAAACAGATTCAAATCTTTCTTCATGTTTGCAATTTCGACTTTAGACTCCTTAAATAGACGGTAAAAATCAACCTCCAAGGACCTACAATTTATGCACGCCCAGCGAAGTCCATTTTTTCTATCAGTTATTACATCAAATTGTCTACCAGTAAAACCCGCACATTTAAAGTGACCATGATTTTCACATAGCCAACAAGTAATAAAGCGTTCATTTTCATTAGTAATTTTACAATTTTTGTATAAACAGGCCATTGTGCAAAACTTCAAAAAATTATTCTAATGCCTCAAAGTATGCTTTAGATTGTGAATATAAAATTTAGAATTTGGGATTGAAAAACAAGAACAAGGCACAAGGGAGAAAAAAAAAAAAAAAAAAAAAAAAAAAAAAAAAAAAAAAAAAAGCGAAACAGACGTAAACAGCAAAAGTAAAACAAAAATATGAGAAGGCGCAAAAACAGTCACAATTTGTTTTAATTATTTTGTAAAATACCGTATTTAAACACTGAACTTCACAATGCACGTATAATTTCGATTATATTAGTAAGAACTGATAGTATTTCACTGCACAAAAAGAACAATAAATAATAATATATTTAAAATTATTTTATCACTATTTTGACACAAATAAAACACAACTAAACACGACAAGAGTTGCCAGACTTTTAAAATTAGTTTAAAAAATCGACGAGAGCTTAAAATTTGTTTAAAAAATCGACGAGAGCTTAAAATTTAATTAAAAAATCCACGAGAGCTTAAAAATTTATTTAAAAAATCCACGAGAGTTTAAAATTTGTTTAAAAAATCGACGAGAGCTTAAAATTTAATTAAAAAATCGACGAGAGCTTAAAAATTTATTTAAAAAATCCAGACAGTTTAAAATTTGTTTAAAAAATCGACGAGAGCTTAAAATTTAATTAAAAAATCCACGAGAGCTTAAAAATTTATTTAAAAAATCCACGAGAGTTTAAAATTTGTTTAAAAAATCGACGAGAGCTTAAAATTTAATTAAAAATCGACGAGAGCTTAAAAATTTATTTAAAAAACCTACGAGTATTTAAAATTTGTTTAAAAAATCGACGAGAGCTTAAAATTTAATTAAAAAATCCACGAGAGCTTAAAAATTTATTTAAAAAATCCACGAGCCTTGTAGATGGCTTAAAAATATTTTAAAAATCCACGAGCCTTGTAGATGGCTTAAAAAATATTTAAAAAATCCACGAGCCTTATAGAAGGCTTAAACAATTATTTAAAAAATATACGAGCCTTGTGGATGGCTTAAAAAATTATTTTGAAAAATCCACGAGCCTTATATGAGGTTTAAAAAATTATTTAAAAAATCCACGAGCCTTATATGAGGTTTAAAAAATTATTTAAAAAAATCCACGAGCCTTATATGAGGTTTAAAAAATTATTTAAAAAATCCACGAGCCTTATATGAGGTTTAAAAAATTATTTAAAAAATCCACGAGCCTTATATGAGGTTTAAAAAATTATTTAAAAAATCCACGAGCCTTATATGAGGTTTAAAAAATTATTTAAAAAATCCACGAGCCTTATATGAGGTTTAAAAAATTATATAAAAAATCCACGAGCCTTATATGAGGTTTAAAAAATTATTTAAAAAATCCACGAGCCTTATATGAGGCTTATAAAATTATTTAAAAAATCCACGAGCCTTATATGAGGTTTAAAAAATTATTTAAAAAATCCACAAGCCTTATATGAGGTTTAAAATTTTTTTAAAAAAATCCACGAGCCTTGTGGATGGCTTAAAAATTATTTAAAAAATCCACGAGCCTTGGAGGTGGCTTAAAAATTATTTAAAAAATCCACGAGCCTTGGAGGTGGCTTAAAAATTATTTAAAAAATCCACGAGGTTTGTGGATGGCTTAAAAAATTATTTAAAAAATCCACGAGCCTGGAAAAATTATTTTAAAAATCCGCGAGTCTTATAGAAATCTTAAAAATTAATTAAAAAATCCACGAATCTTATGGAAGACTCGAAATTTATTTAAAAATTTCACGAGTCTTATAGAAATCTTAAAAATTAATTAAAAAATCCACGAATCTTATGGAAGACTCGAAATTTATTTAAAAATTCCACGAGACTTAAATAAGTCTTAAAAAATTATTTTAAAAATCCATGAGGCTTAAATAAGTCTTAAAAAATTATTTTAAAAATCCACGAGCCTTAAATAAGTCTAAAAAAATTATTTTAAAAATCCACGAGCCTTACAAAAAGTTTAAAAAATTAATTTAAAAATCCACGAGCCTTACAAAATGTTTAAAAAATAATTTTAAAAATCCACTAGCCTTGTGGATAGCTTAAAATTATTTTAAAAAAATCCACGAATCTTATGGAAGACTCAAAATTTCTTTAAAAATTCCAAGAGGCTTAAATAAGTCTTAAAAAAGATTTTAAAAAGCTACGAGCCTTAAATTTCTTTCTTTTTAAAAATTGCTCGAGGCGAGAGTCCTTGCGCTATTGACTAATTTTTAAAGACAACCTCACTTAACACTTACCTCCTCATCACCATCCCAATTGTAGTAGAATTGTTGATTTGGATTCATGTATTTTTTGAGCAATTCTTTGGCCACCCGCACCGACATCTCACCCTGAACGAACGGATGCTGCAGGAGTCTTTCGGCTGTGGGACGTTTTTTAGGGTTCTTGGTTAAAGCTGTTTTTACAAAATTATGAAATGTAGGACTCCATTTCTCTTTATTGCTGAGAGTTGGAGGTTTGAAACCACTTTTTGACATCAGGAACAAAGCACGCATTGGATGTAAATCGAACATGGGTGGTTGTAGTTCAGCCAATTCTGCAAAAATTGAGCACAAAAGAGATTTACAATAAAAAAATATAAATTATTTATAAGGACCACAAAAAAAGTAATTCTTATAGAAGGCAAAGAAATTCCAAGAAAGAAATTATGTTTTTCTTTTGACATATTTTATGAGACCTTTGGGAATTGATTGTTAAAACCACAATATTTGACACATTTAGTGGTTTTCTTCGAAAAGAAAATAAAAATCCAATCGCCTACTAACCGAACCAACGACGAACATTCACATAATTGGCCAATTGTTCAATTTAACCTTTATGAAGCTAATGAATAAATTCATGGAATTGGCATCATAATTTCTCCTTCTGTCATTTTCATTTTATTTAGGAGCGACTTTTTTCTAGAGGGTGGTATATGCCATAAAAATCCATGGACTTTTTAGGACTAATAACAATTTTATTCTACAGCAGCTTCTTTATCATCATCATCGTTATCAAAGGCAAAGTCATTTTCCTTGGGCAAAGCTCTGTTTTAATGATGCTGGCGATGATGATGATGATGTTTGTGGTGGTTGGTGGTGCTACTGGTTTTTGGTAGTGGTGTTGGTGTTGTTGATGTTACCAACGGTTGATGTGGCTTTTCTCTTTAATAGGCCACAATTGTTCTTGGACGTAATTGGATACGTCTGACAACAAAGTGTACTTGAGTGAAGTATAAATCATTCGAAGAGAAGGTTTAAATTTTGCAAACCAAGATAAATAGCCAGAGAGGGGGAAGGAGGGTGAAAGAGGGAGACAAGCCATAACTTTTGCTGTTCCAAAAGAAAAATAATGCCGAAAAATTATTATTATGAAACCTTATAATTTAATGTTTCGAGACGCAAAATAATACAAGTGTGAAAATTACGGCAATTGATAGCACCAGTGTGTACGAAAATTGGGGCATTTTATATAAAAGTTAATTAAGGCGTCAAGAAAATTTCGTAAATCTAACTAATTTTGGTGCTGTTTAATAATATGAAGAAGACAAGTATGGAAGAGAACTGGTAGGAATTTCGGAAGCTCATACTAATAATTGGCAGTTGAATCCTCAAATTTATCAATTAAGCCACTATTGATACGAGACGTCGAAAAAGGGGTATTTTTCGGAAATTGTAGCGAGAAATCCAACTAGCTGCTTTTTTGAATATTTGTACCAAAATAGTACTAAAAAGTACAATATATTATACTTTTAGAGCCAGAACTCTGAATTTTTATATTTAGGCATGTCTGATGAAGCAAACATATAAAGAAGATTTTAAGTGGGCGGTGAGTCGGATTTTTTTAGAAATTTGTACTAAAAAGTAATATTGTGTTGATGGAAATATTGAGATGTACCAAGTCTGAATGGAATCGGATGTTAATTTCGAGTTTTATGAGCTTCATGGGTATTTTAAAAATTTTGACCCTTTGTGAGGGAGGTACCAGTATCTTCTCCAGACCTTGGGTGAATAAAAATATTGTGATGTATGTAATTTGAAGATAATCGAACTCTTGTATAACATTTTATAAAATTTATAATTATTCAAAATTTTGACCATTAATGGGGAATGTATTTGATGGAGTGGACCGATATTGTCCATTTTCGCACCTGACGTAGCACTGCAAATATTAGGATTGCATCACGACGTAGCACTGATCAAAACCGGATCATCCTTTCTTTTTCTGTGCAATAAAATATTTTCTTTGAAAATTTCGATATTTTTTGTGGGAGGTACAAGATGGAGTGGACCGATATTGCCCATCTCCGAACTCGATCTGAGTTTGACAAAAATATTGCGATGTACCAAGTTTGGGCCAAATCGGATACTCCCTTCGAGAGTTATCGTGGACACCGCTAGATCGACTTCAAATGTTCTGAAACGGATTTGGTTCAAAGAGACCTAGGGTCCAAAATCGTTATTTCGATGAGGAAATATATCAAATTATATATTCCTTCTGTAGACATATGGCTGAGGGTATAAAAAAGAATCAAAAAATATAAAAAAGAATCATAAAATCCAATTACCATGGGAAGCTCTTCTGGCGTATGTAGACTTATCAAAGAACCGCTCTCAGAAGATTTTTTGGGGTCTTTCTCTCCCCCGTAGACTCTTTGATGACCTCCTGTATTCCATAAGACCTTAAGAACTCCTCAAAGGTGAAATTCATGAAACTTTTGAAGACGTACGACGGCCACGTCTGAAGACTATTTGGAAGTTTTCTGGCTTCAGACTTTAGGATGCTCACCTGCCGTAAGAAAAATGTTCAAAGGACTTCCGTCTTCAGAAGACTTTTTAGGGCCTTTCTCTCCCCAAAATACTCTTTGATGGCCTCCTTCAATCCAGAAGACCATTTGGAATTCCCTCTGTCTTTAGAAGATCTTTATATATCCTCTTCTAGGTTAAATGTCCTCAGGGCAAATTTTGAGGATCTTCTGCCTTTAGAAGAACGTTTGAAGATTATCTGTATTCAAAAGATCTTTTAGAATCAATATCTTCGCAGGATAGAATTTAAAAGTCCTTTTTGAGGTCTGTTTCTGTCCTCGAAAGGCCTTTCAAAAACCCAATCCTTTAAAAATTTATTTGGAATACTCCGTCTTAAAAGACGGATAGAAGGTATGTTTCTATCCTCGAAAGAATCCTGTTCTCAGAAGGATTTTGGAAGGTCGCTTGTATTCAGAAGAAAATTTATGGCTCTCATGTTTCCAGAGAATCGATAGGAAACTATTTTAATTTGAATACCAAAAAACCTCTCCGTGGAAAGCCCTTTATGTTGCACTGTAAATTTTATTTTAGCATTTGGGCCTCAAAAACAAATTTTAACGAAATGGTTGCAGTTTAGGCTGTAAAAGAATTTTTTCCAGCAAAAATTTAAAATTGACCTTATTTTTTAATTTGAATTACAAGAATCCCTTTGCGAATATTTATTTTAAAATAGATACCAGATAGTATTTTCACAGTTTGGAAGGTAGGGATGGTCTTAGTCCCATTTTTTAACCGCTTTGCTATAATTTATTTTTTTCCCCAGGTGTTGGGTATAAAATATTAAATGTCGTGTTTCTTCCCATTATTTAAAATTATATGATTCCCTTTAAAAATTCTTCTTTAATAACCCAGTCATATTTTTATTAAAAATTAAATAAAATTCCTCTTATATTTATTCGAAAAAAAAAACTCCAATGCGGCCATAAATAATGCAATCATTCTAATTTATGTGAATGTTTGTGGTCAACTGAACATAAATCTCATTCAATATACTTGGCGATTAAGGCGAACAAACGAACAAACAACGACACTAGGCCACTTACCTATTGCTGTAATACCACAGGCCCAAATATCACATAATTGATTGTAGCCGCCCTTGCGCTCCACGGCAGCCACTTCCGGTGCCATCCAGTAGGGTGTACCTGAAATTACAAGCAAAACAGACGGAGAGAAACCATAAATTATTACAAGTCCAGCTAAACACAAAAATGCAATGTTTAGAATGGGGGGAGGAGGAGGGTATGGGATGGCAAGGAAGGAAGTTAGAGGTAAATTGGCATAATGAAATACAACTGAAAAATACATGAAATTATAAAACAATTAAAATTAATTAAATCTGTTGTGGCGGCTGGGAAGCCAATAAAATACACGGACACACACACAACTGTCGGTGGTGGCGGCAGCAGCAGTTGAAACTGCCCAGCTCCAAGCTCTTGGCTTAATTATGACAAAGGCAACGCAATGAGCAGCAACAAACACCTGGATGCAGGGATGACACGAACACACACACATGTTACCCAGGAAATGTGTGCGTGTATATAGGTAATTATGCACAGTTTGACCCGTGTTTATTTTATGTTAATGTATGCAAGGTACTGAATACTCTCGGTTCTTCACCCCGCTCTCTCAGCCTGCACTCATTTGCAATCACCGGCAAATTGTCCTTGCAAATAAAAACCAAAAAGCCCCAAAACAGCAACGGAAAATTTGTTCATTTCCATTTTAACTTTCATTTAATTAGCATCACTGCAGTTTATTTTGTGTGCGTGTGTGTGGTGGTAGTAGTGGTAATGGCAGTGTTGGTAATGACGGTGAATGTGTTTGTAATAATTAATTTATGTGGGTACAAATGTGCGTGCATGCGTGTGTGTTCAATTTATGTGTTACTTTACCCTATATTTGTACAAATTGTAAATTTTGATGTATGGTGTCGTGGTGGATGTGTATGTGAGAGTGTGCGTTAATTAAATCATTTTCCAAATGTAAATTCATGCATATTTTATGATTGTTGTGTTGCGTATCACAAACACATGCATATTTACATAGATGTGCTTTTTTTTAATGTAGCAACTCATTTTTAGTCTAGGTCTACTGAGTTGAGTAGAGCTGTTTTGTTTTAATTTAGTTCTTGGGCTAGACATTTTTATAGCTTCAGCCTCACGGATACAGAGGAGGTATATCATTTGATACTGCCGAAATGTGGCTCATCGAAATATAGGTTTTAGAGTCTGGATCTTCAGCAGATTGTGAAATTTTATGTTCTACATAGCAAAGTAAAACATTACATATTTTTTTAGATTTTTGGATTGAGATTAATTGGATTTTTAGAATTGGAAATATTACTGATAACCAGTAAAGAAAGTCTTAAAGTCGGGCGGGGCCGACTTTATGATACCCTACACCACTTTGCACTAATTTAGTAGAGCTCCGCCTAACAATTAAAAGTTCATACACGCTATGATTATAACTTAAAGTTCAATAGACTGAATATGCCGAAGCATTTGTATCTTTTAAATTCGGACTTGTATTACCCATTTGGTGCACAATTTATTTGAAATCGGATAAAGATATATATGGGAGCTATATCCAAATCGAAACCGATCTCGATAAAATTTGGCAAAGATATTTCTGAGCTGTATTTGATATATTTCCCTGAATGTCGTCGTTACGGAGTGCATATTACAGCTGTGGGTAACAAATATTACAAATCGGATGAAGAGTATATATGGGAGATATAGCTATATCTGAACCGATCTTCACCAAATTTGACATACTAGCTTCTAGACTCAATTCGGTCGTAAGTGCCAAAGTCCATCCCATTTGGACACATATTATTATGATGATGAAATTAAATTAAACTGCAAATAGGACCAAAACATTAAATTTACTTTAAAAACGAGGAATATTTATTCATAGGGTATTAAAAAAGAGGTGGTTCGACATAACCAATAATTTTTGAAATTATCCAAAGCTCTCCATAAATTTCCAAGCTACATTTTAAATGTAGCGCAATTGATCGGGCAAATGTTTTTGTTTTTTTTTTTTTTTTAATCGAGTGTAGCTTCGTTTCCAGAAAAGCTTCGTTTAATATTATATGGCTATAAAAAATCCTTAAATCCAAAAAATGTCGGAAATAGCATCAAATTTTAGAATAAGTTTAGATTTGTTCGAATTGGCCACCTTTGGCACGAATTATGGCCTTCAAACGGCTCTGCGGTATTTTGGCCCATTCCCGGCGAAGAGCTTGAGATGGTCGACACTTTGGTATTTGTTAGTGCCAACCTTACTTTCCAAAATTCTCCAGACACAATTGGTATCCGGATTGGTATCCGGAGATTTTGGTGACCACTGTGTGCTGGAAATGAAGCGAGGAACCTCATTTTGTAACCATTCTTGGGTGACGCGTGCTGAGTGCGATGGTGCTGAGTCCTGTTGGAATGTCCAAGGCCTGCGGCCAAAATGTTTGCGCGCCCAGGGCTTTAAAACACCCTCAAGAATATTTTCGGAATAATATTCGGCATATATTCTAATGCCACGGTCGATTAATACGAGCGGAGAGCGACCATCGGCTGTTATGGCGGCCCACACCATCACCATGGCCGCCGCTTGAGTTCTGCTGGCCAACCGAAAGTGCACATTTTCAGCTGACCTCTTTGGCAAGTAAACACGATCATTTTGTCTGTTTACAAACTGCTGGGCAACGAATGTTTTCTCATCGTAGAAAACCAAATTCGGCAGTTCACCACTTTCGGCTAAGCGAAGCAACTCTTCTTCAGCCCTTTTGAGTCTATTTTCTTTCTGTTGCGCTGTAAGTTCTTTCACTTTTTTGTAATTTCAATGGTTTAACCCGAGCTCATTTTTCAATATTTGCCCGATGGAATATTGCGACATGTTCAGCTCACGAGCCATTTTTCGGCTCGCTTCTTTACTTTTGGAAGCTGTTCTGCTGATGTTGCTTTTTTCTTCCGTCCACTTCCTTGAAGTCGGGCTACGCTATAACGAGCGATGGTACGAGACACAAAAGATTTATTCACATTTAAGTGCTGGAGTGCTCTAACGATAGCCAGTTGTGGTTTTAAAGCCAAATATAAAGAAATCACACTATCAAGCTTGAATTCCACCAGGAATAACTTTTTTCTGGAAAATTCTCACTAAAATGCTCTTGTACGCTTGTAAAAAATATAATGAGCTGTCACTGGAATAATTTTAACAGCTGCCGGACGAGTGGCTTAGAAATGACAGCAGTCTGAAGTTGGTCGCCCTGTATATTCAAGAAACCCTTTTTATGTGACATATTATGAAGTTTTTCCCAAGGTAAGCCTCTTTAAAAAATCTTGTTGAAATCCCTTCTCCTTTTTAATAAAATTTGTTTACTTATGATTTCTTACTAATTTGCTAAGCATTTAAGTGAAAAATGGCCGATTGTTATTCATTCAATTGTGGCATTCACTACGCAGCAATCATAAATGCAAGCACACCAGTGCGTATGAGCAATTTTCCCTTTATTACGGCTGAATAAAGAATCACTCATACGCACTGAAGGCCCTTGCATTTAAGGTTTCATGGCAAACTCAATAAAGCACCCTCAAATGTTGATGTACTAAAAGTGTTTTAAGCCGGCTCGTTTATTGCAAACGACAACGACAACAATAAAGTACAATAAAGCCTTATTATTTCCTCCTTAAATCAGCCTACTTTAGTGCGAATCGTTGTTAAGACTTATTTGGTAGCTTGAACAATTGTGTGTGTAAATGACCTTTCTATTGAAACACATAAATATACACATTTTCTTATTCCACAAATATGAATTGGAATTGATGTCTTGCGTTAAGTGAAATGTAAAGACTGGAGTATTGGAATTATTATACGCTTATCAACGACATGTAGAGACTCATGAGTGTGGCTTAAGAATGAAACATTGCTAATTGATTTTTAAGTAGAATATACATATGTGTAAATTGGAAATAAAGATGAAAAGAAAATGGAATTAATAAATAAGCGATGAAATCTCATTTTGGCGATTCACATAATGATAAATAGAAGTATCATGGGAGAGTTTCATCGTAGCCAATCAGAAATAGTCGAATATTAGCATTTTAAATCCTTTGTGGTCTAAAATGTTGATATTATCATAAATAATATATCATCGGCAGCAGGGACATAGGATAAATAAGAATACAAAATATATAGACAATTTATAATTTTTTTTTCAAACAATTTAATAAACTGAAACGAAATCAAGGAGAACAATTTTTATTTAAAGAAGTCCGAAATTTATTACAGCATTGCAGCGGAACAAGAGTATCCTGCAGTTTAAAACAAAATTTCTTCGAAGGCTGACTTTAATAACTTAAAATGATAAACTACATCTAATTTCAGTCAAAAATCTGTTAAACTATTTCGAATACCTAAAATTACGTTGTTCTGTAATGTAGGAGGCAATACTAAGACGATGACCTTTGAAGTCTAACTTTGCAAATTTAAAAATCAAATAAATATGGAGCTTATCTAAACTATGCATTTTTCTTACCAATTCCTCAAAGTGTATTTCATTAATATATCTTTTATCTAATCGGACCTGCTTTTCATTGTAATTAGAGTTATGTAATTAACACATTCGAAAAGGGGACCAGCAACTACTAAGGTGGCAGGAAAGCTGAATGATTTATTTTTTATGTATTATAAATTATTCGCAGATTGTAGGTTATTGATTATTTCTCAAAATTTCCCGGAGCAAATGTGGTTCCTCTACTCATTACTAAGTAAAAGGAAACCATGCTACAGAGTGTGCGTTTCCGAATATAGCAGACCCGAGGATTGTTGGTTCGATAATTAGCGTTGGAAAACGACCAAAATATGCAAACAAAACAATAAGCGGTGTTTTGTGTTTTACTTCCACATAAGTAAAAATGTATCAATCGGTTCTGCAGACAGACTAGTACCCTCAGCCATTATTCGATTATTCCATATTCATCTCAGGTTTCTGGTTGAGGGAAATATTTAGATATGGCAAGTTGAAAAGAATCGCTGACTTGTTTCGCAAGTTATGACAGATAAAAGTATTTAAAATTGTGATTCTTTGTGGATGTTCTCCTACCAGAAGGGGTTCGCAGATATATACCATCTTCACAACAGATATTGT